CCTCTGATCAAGGCACACACTTCACTGGAGAAGTCTATCGACAAATCTGTAACCAGATGTCAATCACGCAAGAACTTCACTGTCCTTGGCGCCCGCAAAGCTCAGGAAATATCGAGAGACAACATCGCACGATGAAGAACGCACTTTATATGTTATACGAAGACAGGAACTGTGAATGGACAGACGTTCTAGAATCTGTCGTTTCGTCCATAAATGCCACGACCAACAGCGCCACAGGTGTCTCCCCGCACTATGCCATTACCGGCGGTCACCCCAACATCGGCCTACCTACACTACACAGAAAAGAAATCACAAGCGACGATCCTGGAGCATATGGAATGCAAATTAATGCTCTGCTAAAGTAGGTTCACCACCACGTCACCCTGGCCAACGATGAAGTTGACCAGAAACTTGAGACTAACTTAAATCGCCTCACATACAAGGACCCAATACAAGTAGGCGACAAGGTTTTACTTCATCGGCCACACTCAACTGTCGCCCAATCCTCCCATCTGCCCTGGATAGGAAATTACACCATTATAAAAACGAACAATATGATGTGTCAGGGGCAAAACGATAATGGTGATACAATCTGGATTCACCGTGCACATATCCGACGACTGGCTCCACGCCCAACACATCTTTCCAATACAATCCCTCTGCCTCCACTATGTAACAGTCACCAGGATCATTCTCCTCCACATCTCTCGGGGACACATAATTCAGCAAATAACTCCATACGAAAACAAATGCCAATTAGAAGAACACGAGGACAACTTCCCACACGCTTCAGAGACTTTATCATGAATTAATCACCCAAATATACACGAATAACGCTTACTGTAAATCAGACCGAAATTTGGGGGAACCTTTTTATAAAATAAAATAAGACATATCTCGGCTAATTTACAGGCAAATACTCAAGAGCGAGAGCCGGATGTGAATGGGACAAAGCCCCGTTCCAAAATGACCATTATCTTCGTTTACAAATTTTTCCGACACACGAGTTCCGGTCGAAAAATAAAATAATATTTAAAGTGTTCTATTTTTCGTCCAATAAAAATGCTTCCCTCCTAATTATACTAGCTTCGTTTTTCGAGCCTATCAAGCCATAAAAAACGCTATAAAAGGGGTCACACGGAAGTTCAACAGGCAGTCCACAGGTGCCCAGGGTAGAGACCTGTCACGGTCCAGCTGCTGTCAGCAGGGGAGCCTCAACCACTGTCAACATGTGTGAACTACTATGAGAGATCGACCTAGATCTGAAGCCGGCTTATGAACTATACCACAAGGTAGCTGTCCCAAACCCTCACGTTCCTGTTGAAATAAACCACGTAAATCTATTTCTGCTGTTGTATTTTTTTCTTGCAACCATACGCTTGTCTATAACACTCTGGGTGCTTATGTATTATAATCTGTGTGTGTATGTATTGTCTTTCGCAAGATGTCATCATCCCATCCCATTAAAATACATAGGACGCATGGCTGGATAAAGGCGTTGGTTAGATCCAGTGACAGACCCAAAGGAATTCAAATGTATCCATGTTGTCTATTCCAACGTAATTTCATTAAAAACAAAATAAATTGAATAACATATGTATTTTTTCCTCGGTAATTTTATAATTTTAAACTTAATAGAGATTAAATTTAGATTTTAAAATGGGTAATTTTTTATTTTTAATTTTAATTTCAAATTTTATCATATAATTCAATACTTATTAGTTAGAATAAATTCTATTTTAGTATAACCCCAACCTTAAAGCTATTATAACCTTACTTCGTTGTCAAGTTTTTTGAATTCTCGTAAACTTTTATTTTGATTGGTCATTCAAGCTTATGCAACAGCGTTTCCCCTTGCGAGGGGTGGTTAATTAATTTGAACCTTTTAAAACCCTTTATTCTACATTCAACATCATCATTTGATAAGACACCAGAGGGGTTGAAACAAAATGGCTATTTTTGTAGTGATTTTATAACATATTTATGTTATAATTTCTAAATAAATAATTATATATATATATATATATATATATATATATATATATATACAGGATGTATCAAAAATACTTTTACAAACTTTGGAGGCGGATTCCTCAAAACCAATACAAGGAAAAAAGCCCATATAAACCTGTGTTCACAAATCGTTCGTGTTTGAGTTATTAAGTTTAAAGTTTACGGTAAACGCTGTTAAATGTACAATCCAAGATACAATACTTTTACAAACTTTGGGGGCGGGTTCTTGGCACCAAAACAAGGTCAAATGTCCATATGAAAATATGTCTAAAAAGCCATTGTTGTACCTGAAAACAGCAACTCATAAATGTTCAAAATGTCTCCCGCTTACTTCTACACTGGCGGACCCTTTCAAATACTCCCACAGAGTGTCGAATGGTTTCACAGACCCCCATGAGACGTTGATGAAGCGTCTCTGCATTATCAATATCTGCTGCCTAAAGCAATTGTTTTAGGTGGCCCAACAGAAAAAAAAATCTTAAGGACTGAGGTCGGAGGAGTGTACAGGCCATAGAACCAGCCCTCTCCTACCTATCCATATTTCATGGTAGATGTCAGCCAGTGTATCGCGAACAATGTGATTAAAATGTGCTGGACCCCCATCATGCATGAACCACCTGCGTCTTCGTATTAGCAGAAGTACATCCCCTAGCAGGCCTGGAAGTGTGTTCGAAATAAAGTCCCTTTAGACAGCTCCTGTAGAACGAATTGGGAGAACATATGAACCTACCAGACAATCCCCTACAATTCCAGCCCACACATTAATCGTAAACTGATACTGGTGTCTAGCCTCTATTGTAAAAAAGATGACGCTTATCCTATTATAACTGTGCTTGTTTCGCGCTTCGTTACTTCGCACGACCGTTACGCCCTGCCAATACCTCATAAATAATGAACTATTCTGTTTTGATTGCGTGGAAAGAGGGTGAAAAGACACGTCTTGGTTTCAGTGAGAAAATGAAAGAAAGACGTGAAGATAGAAATGGAGAGAGAGAATCAGATTAAGCTGATAAGAACAAATACTTTTGATCTTGGCCAAAAGGCCAAGAAGTGATTGTACTTTCTTGCCGCTCCACGCTGGCAGGATGTAACAAAAGGTCAGTTTCATTGTTAATTTAAAATGATAAATAAACTTGAAACTAATGTTTGTTTTGGTGCAGATCTCTGGTGTGTTCTAGATTGAAACCTTGCATCGTTCAGTTGCGAGTCAACCTTTGTTGATTTTTGACGTTTTGTCCTTAAATGCCTTAAAAATGGATAACGAAAAGTTGCACTTTAACCATATTATGGTCTATGAATTTCGGAAAGGAGTAAGTGTCGGAACTGCGCCAAAAAAAAAAATCAGGAGGTTTATTTAGATCGTGCTGCATCTCTTCGGACGGTCAAAAATTCGTTTGGCAGGTTTCGCCAGTGTAATTTTTAACCTGAACGATCAACCACACCCCGGGCGACCTTCTGTCGATGAAGACGCTCTGCTTGCTATCCTGGAGAATAAACCAAATATTTCAACGGAAAAGATTGCTAAGAGTTTGAAAATCGATACCACAATAGCCTCTTGTCATTTGAGAGACTTGGGTTCGTTTCCAAACTCGATATGTGTGTGATACATTCTCTGACAGAACACAAGTTCAATTGAGTTTCTGTCGCGATTTCTTTGCTGTTACTCCACGAAAAGGAGTCGTTCTTGGATAGAATTTTCAAAGGCGATGAAAAAAATGGATCGTTTGTGATAACGTTCGACGCAAACAGCTGGAAACATGGTTCTGAATGTGCAGAACCTGTATCAAAAGCGAGCTTGCATTCAATGAAGATTTTACTGTTCGTTTGCTGGGGTTACAGAGGGATAATTCATTCTCAGCTTCTTCATAAATACAAGTGAATATTGCGGCCAACTCACCAGCCTCATTCATGAGAACCGGTTGATTTCGAAAAGGTATCATATTCATCACGACAAGATCGTATGTTGCAAAACAGACCTTCTTTTTGTGTGCCATGTCATTCAGGACGTAGACGATCATGGCTCTCCACCTCCCTCTATCCCTTGCAGCTCACAACGAGTTCCTTCCCACTGCTTCCTCTCCCAGGCCAGGTTCTGCCATCCACTTGCTTAAGTCCGCCAGGTATGTCACGCGTTATTTTTCCTTTGTCTCTCTCTCAATGTTCACTTATATAAATTGAACTGCACCACATATTTGATTTAAAAGAACGACGTGCAAATTTTCGGGATAACAACTGAGACGTTACTCTATTTATTGAGCTATTTAGTGCATGCCACAATGACTGATAAACTCCTATAAAAAATCTCAAATTGCCTTATTAGTAAAAAAGAAAACGCACTCTCTTAAATTTAAAAAAAAATTCAACCTTAGTGTTGCGACTGCACACTCCAAAAGTTTGTATCCGTTAACAATAAAACATTTCAAAAAAACATATTTCGATTTGTATTTCATTTTTTCGTCTTGGATGCTACCTGAATTTTACCAAAAACAAAATAATTTCTACGCCTGAAGATGACTGAATGTACAGTTGAAAGTACTTGCGTATTAAAGAAAGACCTTATACAGCTTATAATTTTTAAAAACAAGGATCATAACATTCATCGAGTGATTTATAGGTTAATGCACCTTTAAAATTTTGTTTGCGAAGGGATTTCGCCATTTTATATCATTAACTTTACTAATCTACTTTTTGTATGAATGATTCATTGTAATATATATATATATATATATATATATATATATATATATATATATATATATATATATATAGTCTAGTGAGATGAAATAGGCAAGACTATCATTGGCCTGCGAAGACGTTTGAAGATGAAACAGTTTATTAAATTTCATTAGAACCCTGAGAATAAATATGAGGAAGTCGGAAGTAGTTGAAGATGTTTATGCATCCGTTAAGCTTGTTTTATTGCAGCAGCTAAAGTTTCTACAGTTCAACATTCCTATAACAGTCATCTTAGATTTATTGATATTTACTAAACTTGCACTCGTCGAGAAAAGGATCAAAGAGCAGTTGGGAGACATTTTGCTCGTCTTATCTTCTAAGTTGCAAAAGTCCACCTCTCTTTAAATATCAGACTTCGAAAATTTCGTTACTTTTTTTGCTATGTTTTAAATCCCGATCCCTTGACAGCCAGTGAGAATAACGTAATGCTCTCAGCAATGAAGCAAACAGATTTATTTAGGGTTTATCCCTTTGACAGTTAGAAAGGTCAGACTTGTTTATTTAGATAACCTATTTAAATAAAACACCAATAACTATGTTTTAACGAGAGAGCCTTAACATTATTATTTTAATAGCATAGCACCCGTAAAAAACTACGAAATTGTTCACGTATAGATAAATTATACATATATATATATATATATATATATATATATATATATATATATATATATATATATATATATCTTTAGTATAAATATATTTAATTCAAGAAAAAGCGCCTATGTCGAATGAAATTTGACTGACGATTCTGTACAATATTTTCTGCTTTTGATAATTTAAAAAGAATACAGCATGAGGTATCATCACCAGTTGCAGTAACAGCAAAAGTAGTAGTAGTAGTAGAAGTAATATTGCCAGCAGCAGTTGCCTTCTTCTAGTGAATATTCAGACACTGTAAAGTTTATTTTGAGTATTTGTATAAGCAATAACCGCTTCCTCCTTTTCCATTTCCTTTCGCGTGTACACTAACGAAATAAAATTATAAGATCTATTATAACATTGCTAGTTTTACTTAGTCTTATTAGCTAGGGTGTTTCACACCAAAATAAATCAACGATAATAAACGGCGGAGTGAAGGATTTTAATCAAATAGTAATATTCTTCATGTGGAAATTTCAAATAATAATTAACTGTACTTAAATAGCAGAATGTCTACAGACTTGTACCCAACTTAATAACTAAACTAATTACGACAATGTCCCCAGAAAACAAGCTAATGAAAGTGAGATGCGAATCCAAATCTGACCAGAAGCTACACTTTTAAATTTCCGTGATGGCAAAATCGGTTGATTGAAAAATCAGTTAGTTAACTCTTTAAGCGCGCAATAAAAAGGATTCTTACTATTATGTCATTACCATATTTATTCCATTTTACTATTGTTACTTTTTATCGAAATAATTGTTTTTCCCAGAATATTCATTTTTATTATCAGTCACAGCGTCGCTTTAAACAGGCTCAGAATCAAGGATTATGGAAAAAGTTTTGTCCGAACATCCAATTGATTGATAATATATTCACTTATAGAGAGCGATAAGTTGTAGAGGATTGTATTTTTTGTTAACATTAATTTTTATAAATGACTCAAAATATTTTTTATAAAATGTAATATTAAGAGGTAATAAAAATACTAATAAAATAACAGTTAAAATCTTTAATCTAAAAAGCAACAATAATATTTACTAAAAACTAAGAAATGACCGTGAAAACGTTCTATCTAAAAGGGAACAATAGTATTTAGTAAAACTAGTAATAAAAAATTAGTGAAAATCTTTTGTCTAAAAAGTAACGATAATAAGACAAAAACTAGGACTAAAATAATAATAGTGAAAATGCATCATTTAAAAAGCAACAGAAATAAGATTTGAAAAAACTAAATATAAAATGTTAATAGTGAAAGTGATCCTGTATTTGAGATCATGGTAGGATGCGACACACGGTATGGGTTATAGAAAATGTAGGACGTACATTTTGGGGATCCTGAAGCTTAAACAGATTTGTCGTAAGAATCACTGAAAAACCCTTTGACTTATTCAGCTAGAAAGAGATCAGGTTAAAATCGTTTTGTGTGAGCCCCACTATGTCTTCCCAACTGAGCAATGGTAAGAGGAAAAGATCATTCAGGTCTTCAGTAATGGTAACAACATTCATACTCTGTCTTCCATCTTCAAAGCCCATTCAATAAACATCAAGAGAACGGTGAATAAGTTTAAAAAAGAGAGAACAGTAGAGAGGAAAACTGGATCAGGAGGTCACAAGAGGAAGAGGGATCATCATACTTAGAGATAAATACATTCTTATTGTTCCAAGTAGAGTTCAATAGTGTTATAAAAACCTTGGAGAATTCCAGTAATATATCTTTAATCATTTCTGAGATACAACGTTTCAAATCTTAATCAATTTTCTTGTTGCACGGTTTGGACATTTTTGCTGTTACACTCGGTATATATTATTTCGTTTATATAGTTGCAAGTTTATACTACGAAAAAGATGAGGCAAATAAATGTTGAACCGGAATCAAGGGTCAACAAAGAATCCGTTTTGCTCTCAGACCTTTTCACCTCGAAGTCATTTTTATTTAAGTTTCCCACGCATTGCAAATTCATTTTGGTTGTTTTGTTTTTTTTTAACTCCTAATCTTTTTTCAGCAAACCGGATTTTAAAAGCAAACAACAGATTCAAGCAGAAATATCTTAGTGATGTATACCTAGGTTAGTTTGGTATAAGGCCACAAATGTGGAGCAGCTTGTGAGAATCGAACTCACTATACAATTCGAAGAGGTGCTGAAAATTCCCAGGGTAGCCAACTTGCAAAAATCAGGCCAAATCACTAAATCTCAGATTTTTTAGTGCTGATAGCGAACATAGAAAAGAAACTACAGAAACTCCTGCAGAAGATAGCAAAGGAAAGCGAGAAGAAAGGACTAAACATCAACTGTAAAAAGACAGAATGTATGATTGTCGACAAATAAAACAGCCGAAGATGCGAATTACAAATTGTAGATACCAAAATTAAACTAATGCAAAAAATTTAAATATCTAGGAAGTGCTGTAGTAGAAAGATGTTTTCCGAAAATTAAGCAAAGTATTAAGAAAACAGGAAAATTTCATTGAAAACAAAAAGTATTGAACTTTTATGTAATATTGGTGCTCCTATTTGACAGTAAATACTGGACTATCTCATCCCAGATGAAAAAGAGGCTTGAAACAACAGAAATGTGATCCTACAGGGGGATGTTGGGAATACCATGGACTGAACATGTGCGCAGTAACGAAGTTTTAAAGAAAATGGACACTTATGCATAGCATCAAAAAGAAACAGCTGAAATTTCTAGGGTACATAATGAGGAAAGAGGGCTTGGAAAATTTGACACTCGTAGGACATAGTGAAGGCAAGAGGAATACCATGGACTGAACATGGGCGCAGTAACGAAGTTTTAAAGAAAATGGACACATATGCATAGCATCAGAAAGAAACAGCTGAAATTTATGGTGCACATAATGAGAAAAGAGGGCATGGAAAATTTGACACTCGCAGAACGTAGTGAAGGCAAGAGGGAAGAGAGGAAATCACCGCATAACCTAGCTAACGAGCTTGTGGTTGGCAGAACAGAGATTAGGAGAGCTGACAAAAAGACAAACTTTGCTAAGCGCTACAAAGGACAGGAAATTATGGAGAACCATGATCAGACAGATCCTGAAGGAATTACATATTATCACATCACGGCGAGGCTAAGCACAAGGGCACTTAGTTGATATGTAGATTAAACTATTAATAGTTAACAATTAGGTCTTCACTTAGTGCTTCAGGCTTGTACTAATATGCTTAGTGAATATTTAGTGTGAGGAAAAGTTTCCAGCGTTTATAAAGGGTGTTCCAATAATTTTGGCCGATTTTAAATGTGAATTAAGTTTAAGGGTCTAATGATTTTTTTCTTTTTCTTTCAGATTTGGCAGACATTTGGGCAATATTATTTTTCACACATAATTGCCATGACTTAAATAACATGGTCCAATAGAAAAATAAATAAATTTTCACAAATAACACTGATTTATCTACTGTTGACTTTGATCCGTCTTAATGAAACACGCCCAAATGTCTGCCAAGGGTGAAAGAAAAAAAAAATCATTAGACGCTTAAAATTCACAGTTAAAATCGGCCCAAATTATTGGAACACCCTTTATAAACGCTGGAAACTTTTGCTCACATTAAATATTCACTAAGCAGATTAGTACAAGTGAAACCTACGATGGAAAATGTGACGCCAAAATCCGAACGCGCATTGCGCTCGTGAAAGATGTATTTCAAAAGCTAAACAAAGTACAGTAGAATCCCTCACATCCGGAGTGCCTCATATCCGGAATTCCGCATATCCGGAGTGCCTCATATCCGAAATTCCGCATATCCGGAATTACGCATATCCCGAGTGCGTCATACCCAGGACCCTCATATCCGGAGTTCCTGATATCTAGAATCCTGCATATCCGGTCATGATTTTGATGTGTATATTTGAACTATTTGGGTGATATGTAACTGATTTGAAATTTCTGTTTTTCAGGAAATTTACTTATGCTTATTTCACCCTAATAGCTTGTATTGGTGCAAAAGATGATGGGAATAAAAGGACACATCTGCAACAAGATAGCGACGAGCTGGATGATTGTGATGAAATCTGGACTGAAATTTAAAAAGCTATTGAAAAGGTAGTCGGTTTTATGGAAAGAAAGCCACCATTCAGCTATGACGATTGCAATAACGCACGCAGAGTTAAAAAGTGTCTTTCGTTTAAAAAATTTTAAGAACAAAAGCAAAACGAAATGCGGAAAAAGTTGAGAATGACATTAGAAGAGAAAGAATCATCATGCAACAGCGATTAAAAAATCCTCGTTACATTATTTGTTTTGCATACGTGGCATACTAAATTTGATGAATTTTCATTTACATTGCATAATTTATTTCTTTTTCCTTAAAATCAGTTCCGTTATATTTCACTCGCCATTAGCTTATTTTGTTTACTATAAAACATTGAAAATAAATGTTAAAACTGATTTCAGTTCTTTTATTTTAATCTAAATATAACCTCTCATATCAGGATTTTGTAACCAATTCCTCATATCCGGAAGGCCTTCTTAGTCAGGTTTTCAGGGATTCTACTGTATTAAAAACAGGAAAATTTCATTAGAAACAAAGATTTGCTTCTTGAACTGCGATGTAATGCCAATTCTCCTATATGGCAGTTGAATGCTGGACAATTTCTTTTAGGAGTATTTTTTTAATTTCTGAAACTGTGCAGACAGGAAAACAGTTTTTTTTTTAAATAAATTAATGTCTTTTTCATGTAAAATGTGAGAATTATTTTAAGATCCAGAGAGAAGGAGAAAAAAGAGAAATAAATCCATTTGAAAATGACTGTTTACATTTCGAGAATGAAAATGAAGCTAGCAGATATAGATTCGAAAAAGTCCCAAGAGGTGGGCATTAGGTAATTGAGATTTGTTTTATCATGCCCCCCCCCCACACACCGGTAGCTAGATTAGTAACGGCACACTTCGGCTATAGGAGTGATTTCACTGATTATTAAAAGGGATACAGGTTCGATTCCTGTCGGAAGCACATTTTTTTTGTAGAATATCTCGATATAGGCCGGTTGATGTTAAATTCGCTATTTTAGAAAATAAAACACATTAACTCAAACACATGTACTCACTAAAAATAACGTTTGTAGCAAGTATACATAATATATACATACACACACACATATATATATATAAATATATCTCTCTTTAAAATTAAAATAAGGCATCTATTTCAAATACGAGTATCCACTATAATAACGTTTGAATACATATGAGAGACAAATAGATAGAGATTTTAAATGATGTCACTTTTGGAGGGATACCCTGTATTTTGTTACTATCACTAGTTTTCAAATGAATAAATAAGAATCCTCTGGGAACTTTTGCACACATTTAATGACTTGTGCTGGTTCCACGCCTCATTAATTGAGTCGTGAATTCGGTCCTTACTAGAACCTTATATTCAAACTAAGCTAAATTTGGCAAATAGCTATTATTAAGGAATACGAACAAATTAAAAGGAAAGTGAAATATTGTGTTTCACCAGTTTTGCACAACATTGCAAATCAACATTCGAAAGCCTAACTTCAACCTCTGAGATCAGCGGAAAATACGTAAATATCTCAGCCATCAAACCGGTTACTTGCATTGAAGACATAAATAAAAATGAATTAGTCATTTTATATTTAAGTCATTGAATTAGTAGAGTGATCTGACATAAATAGCTGATACGACATAGTCAGGTCATCGGCGACTAAAATGGTTCCCACACCATGAGAGGAGAGTGGTTAGATACCCAGCAGGATTAAAAACAAGACCAAGGGTGGATAAACCTTCTTGTAGGATCAACGACTATCTAGTACAATTGGGTAGTACTGGGCTTTAGAGCAATGTATGCTTCTTAGACTGAAGTCAATGACCAGGACGAAAGTTGCCACAATAGAATCACCGGCCACGTGTCTGTGACAAAGACAAACCTTCAAAATTAGAGGACATCGGTTGAGGCCTGATCTCCGTCAGCTCTACTTACCCAAGATACGTTACACATAAATAAATACCCCACCGGCTTTCAACCCAGATATCTGGAGGAAACAAGCCAGGTGCTTAGATGTGCAGCAACTTGACGACCACACCCGGTATTTGAACTGATGATGATGATTGGCTATTCCAAATGTGGAGTTCGTCACTATGCTAGATAAAAGAAGAAAAAGTCTGATTCTTTGTCTTTTACAAGTTCTTGGTATTTGCCAAGCGTAGTTTAGTCTGGCACAAGGTTAAATAGAGTGGAAGGATTATTATGTTATTTTCATCGCCCACGTGATTACGGCCTGACATCCTATGCAGTAATCATTCAACATTCTGGCCTTTTCGGTAGGAAATAAGCAGGTCGTTCCTTAACTGAGTATAGAAATCTAGTAAGCTTAGCTTACCATAGGAACGAAGTAAAATGAAGGTTGTGTTGCGCCAATCTTTCATAATGAAAAGAGAATGCCCGTCTTGAAAATCAGCATTCAAATAGGCAACTATTTTAACTTCATAAGCTGACTCCAGAAATGAACTCAGTTTAGCTTTTAAATGATGGAAAGAAGTTTATGTTGCGCTAATTTTCCAAGCAGACAGAGCTTGTCTTGAAAATCGGCGTTCGTAACCCTGTCTTTTACCTGGATTCGAACGACGGTCTGTGTCATGTAGCAAACCTAACGAATTATGTAAAACCTTAAATAAAATTCAAGTAAAAAGAAAAAAAAATTACGTTAAATGACACTTATTTCAAATGCCTACCTGTTAAGCGAATTAAGTTTTTAATAATTTTCGTTACACCATTTTATACTGACCAAAATCGGGGCTCATATTCTCAGGATAAAATATCTGAAATTAAAGGGTGCTACGTCGTGGTTTAATCATTAGGAAACCGGTTTCATCGATTATTACGACTAATTAGTGAGTTTGCTCCTCACGGGGTGCCCATTATTGTGGCCTTATGCCACTGAGCTAAGATTAGTAAATTACTAGAAGAGGGACTTAGATGTCCCGACACGCCAACATAATGGTAATATTTTTTCTATTGCGTTCTGGTTTTGGGCGCAACGAATTCAACCAATGATTTTCAATGTAGGCGGCAACACCCTCTTGTGGTGCTATGAATTCTCGAGGGAGAAGTAAATGTTCTTGAGGAATTATGTACTGGGGAGTGCGATGTCATTTTAACAAATCTTTCAACCTGTATTAGTCATTTGGTATACGCATTTATCTACTTTTCTTTGCTTACATTTTTTACATAGATTTCAAAGTTTTGGTGCAATTGCACTATGCGTACAATTTATTTTTTTTACGGCTTTTCAATCTTTTGAAGGTTATTTAAAGCCAGAAAATATTTTTTAGAGTGTAAGAATTTTTTGGAGATAATGATTTTTACTGATACAATTTCTACTAATTAACACATAGCTGGAGGTAGAAAAAGGTCTATTCATATATTTCCCAAGTGTATTTGCGCCATTCATTACACCACCCGCACATCGAAAATTACAGCACCTGATATTCTTAAGCGGTCACCCATCTAGGTACTGACAAGGTCTGACGTTGCTTAACTTCGATGATCGAATATGAACCGGTGTTTCAACGCGATATGGACGTAAGCCCGCACACGGTGTATGGAGCAAAAACCTGCAGTCTATATTTCGGCAGCGTCTGTCCACAACTTACTTCCGGTGTTTGGCGCGACTGTGTGTGTGTGTGGGGGGGCTAAATCAGGTGTTAAAAGTGTGGGTGTGGGGACTAAGATGTAAAAGTGTGGGGGTGGCTAAGTAATATATTAAAAGTGTGTATTGTGTGTGTGTGTGTGTGTGTGTGTGTTGGGAGGGGGTGCTAGATATATCTAAAAGATTCTTGATTCTATTTTTTCTCATAAAATGAATATTATTTTTAGATATATTATCCTAATGCAAACCATTTTCTGTTTTGATTTTAAATACACATTCTTTTATTTATTTTTTTTATTTTTGCTGTGTGTACTTATTTGCTGGAATGATACCTATATACCTTTTTCGCATTAATGGGGTGCTTAGAAATAGAGGTAACTATTTCAGTTATCTCCAGTTGCCCATCATAAACATTAGTACATCCGTGATATGCTAAGACATTAACACAACAGAAGTAAGGACCAAACTAGCTGAAAGAAATGAATGCCAGATATGGTGATTTTCTAAGCGTATCGTACATGTGGCACAAGGCCGAAAGTATGAGGCACCCAGTGAGGATCGAATTACTCAGTAGCAATTGTTCTAGCGTGACAAACTTGCTAACCATTACGTCACGTCGAGGTGACCCAAATGAATGCCAAATATTCAGTATGTCCAAAGAGATTTTATATTCAGATATCTCATACAAGAAATATATACAAATATGTATATAGCTATCACTATTTATCCAGACAGAGAAACTATAATACATATGGATAAAACAAGCAGTATGAACAGGCTAGAACGGCCAAGTCGACGGTGTCTATTATGTTCCTCGTTGGGAGTACGGGGTTTCTATTTGTTCGCCTTGCAGTCTTCATAGCAAATGGGTTTCGTCACTCACGAGCCATTCACTTGACCCTCGTGAATTCGTCTTACCAAAAGGTAGATAATCGCTATGTAAATCTCTAGAGCATAAAAGACTTATATAAAAGTTTTAGAATCTAACTTACATTATTTAGATTATTCGGACTGTTATCCTCATCTTCATTGTCATATTCACAACGTTTCGTCCGTTGTACGCTTCGGACTTCTTCAGGTGACTGGAATTTCGAACCTAACCCTTTATTTCGCCCACCGGGATAGATTGTTCTAGTTCCACATGCCAAGCCTATTCAGGATATCTCAGTTATTTCCCTTTAACTCAACTCCCAGTATTGGTTCACCACTGCTGTATCCTGGTATTGAACTCATAACTCTTTCGATCTAGTCACTAGATCTAATCAATGCATTTATCCACTGGGCCATGTGAAGAAAGCCGGAGCGTACAACGGCCGAAACCTTGTGAATATGGCAATGAAGATGAGGATAACAGTACGAATAATGTAAATATGGTAAGTAATCATAATACCTCATCTCAGAGATATTGACATATTGTTAGAATCTAACGTTTAAAAAGCGTTTTTCTTTGATTTTTACCTTTACAAGATCTAGTTCAGACCGAAAATAAGGTACTGCTGCCATATATGGACAGGCGCTGTCCAATCTTCATCTCCTAGTCTTGATAAAGCCCAAAAGCGCCTCCGTGTCCTTGTGGGTGATGAATTATTTTTCACTCGACAACCCCTTTCCCACAGAAAAACGTTGCGAACCTCTCGCTGCTCTATTGATTTTTCCGTGGGATGTGTCCAGACGAACTACATTCCTCAGTTCCAGCAGTTCTAACCTTCACGGTTAAGACCTGACATGCCACGCACATTGTAGCGAGCCACCCGCATTCCTTTCATATTCTATTGGTGAGATGTAAGTTCTACTCGAGCAGATTCTTCCCACAAACCACTGCTTTGTGGAACAGTCTCTCAAGAGGATGCTTCCTTGATCACTATAATTCTAATTTGTTCAAGTCTAAGGTTAACCATTATTTTCCCCACATATCTCCATAAACTGTGTCTCTAACTCTATAATCCTCTACCTTGAGTGGCTCTTATGCCTTGTACAGAGTGAACATTATTGTTAAAAAATACTTCATTCTTATGTCTAGATATGATATTTAATATTTCATCAGTGGTGTAGCGTAGTTGCCAACCCCCAGGATAGGTTAAGTGTTGTTTAAAATTTGTTTAAAATCTGGTTTGAATTTGAGCAATGTTGTCGAAATCTACATCTCATTCAGTCAGTCTTTATTCAGTCTTTCTTGGCTCATTGTAGATCTCTGAACTTTTTTTTATACAGTAAGGTTCACCCTGTAGAAGGCCCAAGGACCACTCGAAGAAGAGGGTTACGTTGTGGAGTTATTTATGTGGATAGGAAAGGAAGATAACGGTTAACTCTACACTTGAACAGGTTAAGATTGTATTGATCAAGGAAACATCCTCTTGGGAGTCCGTTTCACAGGGCTGTGGCTCGCAGGAGAAAGCTGTTTGAGTGGAACTTACTTTTCTCCGATTGAATACGGCGGGAATGAGAGTGGTTTGCTACTATGCAAGTGACATGGCGGGTCCTAGCCGTGAAGGTTAAACCTGGCGGAACTAAGGAATGTGGTTCATCCGAGGACTTTTCATGGCAGTAACGATAAAGCAGTGAGAGACTCGCCACATTCTGTCCGAGAGAGCGAGATTGCAGAGTGGAAAATAATTCTTCTCTAACAAAGACTTGGAGACGCTTTTGAACTCTATCAAGACTGGAAAGTGAGAACTTGGCAGCTCCAACCCAAATATGGCAACAGTACTCCATTTTCAACCTGATCTTGCTCTTATAAAGGTAGATGATACCATGAGTCAGGTATTACTGGTACAGAGAACTAATCATTTTACTTGCATCTTTAGCGATGGATCGTATATAATAGTTCCACTTGAGGTCAGGTGTGAGCTTGAGGTCCAATATCCTCTCAAGGCACGGGGTCTCCTCGAGGTGACATCCGTTCATGGTAACTGGCGGTCTGATCAGCAGTGATGGAATGTAGTTTTGATTTAATTCAAGTTTTGAGAAACGGTAAAAAAAACTGGCTGTTTGATGCTATCATCTACCTGCAATCTTTCAGTTCTCACTTGAAACTTTCCAGTTTCCTGAAAACTTTCAGTTTCTACATGTAACGTTCATACTTAATCAAAACCGCTGAAAGTGGGTTAAATATAACATAAACTTAACAGCATACTTGTGGCTTTATGTTAATGGTCGACTTAGAAAAAAAATCTAAAGGAACTTTTACTGAAGATAGGCGAGGAAATCAAAAGAAAGGCCTAACAATTAACTGCAGGAACAGCGAATGCATGGTAGTGAGCAAAGGAAAACCAGGGTATATGTTACAGAACAGGGAAATTAAAATTAAAAACAAGTACAAATTTAACACACACACACACATATATATATATATATATATATATATATATATATATATATATATATATATATATATATATATATATATATATATATATCCAGCTAATTCAAACGTTATTTTGGGGATACCCATATTTGGGCAGATGCCTCGTTTTTTTAAACACTGGGAATTACATGTACCGTCTTGCGCATTTGTGAGGTTTAATGAAGTGAATGTGCCATCCGAGAGTTCGAATCTACGTTCCCTTCTTTGTAAGAGAAACCATCGTCTGATCCAGGTGTTTTAGACCGCTCAACCAGTTCGGGGTTTAGACCGCTCAATGTACTACGGATCAGACGATGGTTTCTCCTACAAAACGGGATGCAGGTTCAAACCTTACCGGAGAGTACCATTAAGTTTCTCAGCGGAATTCACACTGATTTTTTTTTTTTAATCAGGATGTCTTCTCAAACACGGGTATCCTCAAAATAACGTTTGGTGTAATAGGAAATAATATCAGATAGTATATATATATATATATATATATATATATATAATGTCAGATAAAAAATCTATTGATTCCTTAGAAATTACTATATATATATATGTGTGTGTATATATATATATATATATATATATATATATATATATATATATATCGACTCTCCTGTTGTTTTCGACATATGGAGGGTCATGCAGCTCAGTTCCTTGGAACCGACAGTCCGACACCAGAACATGTGATTTGAAGCTTTTGTGCAGAAACATCCACACTTTTTTTGAAGGGCCGAATACAGAGGCCTGGTGCACTACATGCCCACAAACGACTCTCTTATATATATATATATATATATATATATATATATATATATATATATATATATATATATATAAAAAAGTAGATTAGTAAAGTTAATAACTTTACTAATCTACTTTTTGTATGAATGATTCGTTGTAATATGAATTGAACTGCGCCACATATATATATATATATATATATATATATATATATATATATATATATATGTGTGTGTGTGTGTGTGTGTGTGTGTGTGTGTGTGTGTGTAAGGAATCAATGGATTTTTATCTGACATTATTTATTAGTGGTTAGAACGTTCGCTTTCTGACCATGAGACCCACGGTTGATTTGTCAGGAAGGAGACTTCCTGATGTTATCGGTCTAGAGGGGAACGATCTCAGCGTGCAGCACCTTTGGAAAGTGCCTGAAAAGCATACCACCGATTGTGAGAGTGAAATTGGGTAGGCGCAACACTTGGGGGACACTTGATAGCTGTGCTCGTGACTGAGGGTTTGAGGTGCTAGCCTTTGTTCAGATTGTTGATTACGCGAAACACGCTCTCTCCCAGAAACTGTAACTAAGGTCTGCTCAGCATAGTTGCAGTATAAACCACATGTTGTGGGTGTTGAACATACACGAATGTGCCTGGGTGAGCGTCTGAATTAGGGATTGGCTAGCCGCTCTAGTAAACGCGTTTCCTCGAGTACGAGTAGTCATTATTATATATATATATATATATATATATATATATATATATATATATATATATATATATATTACACACACACACACACACACACACACATATATATATATATATATATATATATATATATATATATA